ACTATTAAATATCAATCCTAAACAACGCATGTTAATCGATCATAATGGACTATGGTAGTAGAGGGCAGGTGAAAACAACGAAGTGAGCAGGAGTATAGATCAACACAAAAACACATTGCGTAGGCGTGTGACTAACGAATGATGACAAATACGGCATCTCAAAACTGTTGATGGTACTAAACGTTTTTACACTTCAAAAACGACGAAGTGCCGCTGAGACTGTGAAGTCGGTTCACCGGGTAATCAGCCTAAGGAGTAAGATTACGTGTGCAGGTAAACTTTCTCTAGCAACGTGTTCTCATGTGTCGTTAGGCATAAACATCCGGGGCAAACATGAAATGTGTGGCGTCTGCTAATCCGGAGCCACTTGAATTAGTAAAAAAGCCATATACGCTTTCTACCTTTGTCTACTAGTTTTCTTCGTGTTGTCGCATTGCTTGTGTCAACTTTGGAAAGCGACTCTTGATAGCAAGGGACGAAATTAGGTTACTGGTGAAGAAAATTTAGGAGGAACCGATTACTAACGGCCAGAGTAAGTACGTGAGGGATTCAGCGGACGCACACGTTACAATTAGAAGCAGTATTATTTGGATGGACTGTTTTTAAGAGCCCACGTGAAGAACTGGTTTGGTAAGTTTAGGCAGTTTTATCCAACCACACCTGGTAAGCTAATTTGGTTCAGAAACATATTATTCCACGAGGTTAAAATAATGCATGTTAATTAAAAGTGTGCTCTTAATGCTCGACATTTTCAAATTTACGTGAACTACGAGCCAAGGACGCAGTCGTGATGAAGGTCTGACACAAACCAACCGACACACTAATTCCTGGATAGCGGAAGAGTGCCTACGGATTCAACTTGCAAGTGATTGAAATCTGTGAAGCAATGAGCCGATCGGATCAAACAAGCGTTCTTGCATCCTCGCATTTCTGCACAAAAAGCAAGCGGTGGTCCAGTTACAAAGGCCGTAGTTTCGCGACAACAGTATGGTGGCTTTAGTGAAGGTTCGTCGCAGTTAGACTCAGGCAGACAGTCAGCACTTATGCAGGAAAGAGCTAGACGGCCAGTTCATCCTACTGGGACTGGTCAGAAGTGCGCACCCGCCGAAACCGGCCGGATTCAAACCTACAACCTTACGCTTGCCAGCCAGTGACTTATGTCACTGAGTCATGGGCGACGGCAACAGGCCGCCATAACTGATATCTAACTGTAATATAGCGTGGCTCAGCCTCCACTGTCATGCGTGTTATGAAGGTGCAGAGCATCCTGCAGGCCCACAGCTACGACGCCCTTTGCAAGCAGACACAAATCATGGTGGTCCACTGTCATCCCCATAAGTCGCTGGCCCGCAAGTGCAAGGTTGTGGGTTCGAATCCATCAAGACTGGCGGATACGCACTACTAACGAGTCCCAATAGGATGAAATGCAAGGCTAGCGCTTTCCCGGATGTGCGGTGGCGGCCTGCCTGAGTCTAACTGTAGTAAATTTGCAAAACAACAAAGAAAGCCCCCCATTCCTTACAAATAATCAGTAGTCGCCTTGGCAGCTTACATGCCACCTCGATTGGCGGCGGCTTGCAAAGGAAATAGTTGTTCTGGAGCCAGCCGCGTTCATAACACGCATGACAGTGGAGGAGGAGCCGCGCTATATTGCAGTTAGATATCAGTCATGGAGGCCCGCTGCCGACGCACATGGCTCAGTGACATAAGTCTCTGGCTCGCAAACGAAAGGTGGTGGGTTAGAATCCGGGAAGATTCGGCGGGCGCGCGATACTGACGAGTCCCAATAGGACGAAACGGCCGTCTAGCGCTATCCTGGATGTGTGGTGGCTGTCTATCTGAGTCCAACTGCGACGAATCTTCATAAAAACGCCATAGATCCCCTACTACTTGCAAATAGTCTTGTGCTTATCAGCTAAATCGTTACACGAACACTTAGATGGAGCAGTAGGTGCAAGGTGATGGACAGTTTGTAGAAATTAACGCGGAATGGCAGAGTGAGAGTTGATCTGCAACGCATCATAAAGTGTGGTCTTGTTTAGGTTTGCCAAGAGGTGGGTGATATGCACTGCGAAGCTAATCTGTGCATTTGTACCACAACAAGACAAATCAGTTGCGCTGCACTCGTAGTGGTCAAATTAGTAAGAGTCTCGGTCCCAACGAAGATAGTGTGGACGAGCAAAATTCCGACTAGGTAAGCGGACTATGTGGGACAGCACTGATCGGTTGTCGAGCATAAGACGGATGTTACTGGATCGTGATCGAAGACTTGAAGGAGTAATGATATAGCAGCTGTCTAGCAAGCTATGACTGTCTACCGCTGTCCTCCATGGCTCAATGGCATACGCTGTTGGCTGGTTGGCACAAGCTGCTAGAGGTCATGGGCTCGAGGGAATGCACACCACTGGTGAACCACAACAAGGCGAGAAAACCGTGGGGTGCTTTTTCGGACTGGTGGTTAGACCACCTAGCTTGTGAGTTTCTGGGAGGAGTCAGTAAAATGTTATCTACGATGCTCCAAACACGTAGTATTGTTCGGTAGACTATCAAACTTTCTCCGCTAGGAATGTTGCAGACGCAAGGAGAAAAATGTCAGTAGTTGTCATAAACAAGTTGCTTCGCACCGTCAAATCTGTAGCGTCAGTGTTGACAGACAATATGGTGGCTGACCAGTGGCGTCCGGTGGAAAGTAGTCTTTTAGGGCACAAAAGAAAGCCAGTACTACAAAAAATTCGAATTTGCCAAGCCTTCTCAAGATAAGCTGGTAAAGGGCTGTGTAAGTGATAAGCGGTTAGAAAAGGAAGGGCTGAAGAAGCCGAAAAAGCGACGGACTAGACTATTTGAGAGTAATCGCGGTGGAATAGCTTACGATGATTCTAATTTTGTCTTGTGATACATGGATAACTGTAGAAGATATGCGATACCGAAAAAGGGACAAAAATAGGCTGAAAGCGAGGTACTTATCCGTCGAGTGAGAAGACAGAAAACAGAATAAAGTCAGAGGGGATTAAGCAAACCCTCGCCGTTCACAGTAGCGCAGGAAATATACAAACTGACATACTTCATGGTGAATGGGTCAGCTGTGATAAGCAAACGACTTTGGTCTGATCGTTGCTGCGCAATAACTCGTCTAGGGGACACAATGGTGTCTATTACTGGAAAGCGCGTAGGCCCAACGATTATCAGTTCGCCTGATGAATATTTGCTCCGGAACGCTCAATTCCAGCATGAAAGTATCACCAATGTGAACACGCAATGGGCTTCAGGGCACAGAGAACAGGCTTATTTCAAATTAAATATACGGACACCTACGGGGGTCCACTGTTCAATGAAACAAACCGTTACTACCAGGAATCTGATTCGACAGCAGCCTGTCGCAGTTTGACACACTCAGAGTATCCGCGGACAAAGTTGCGTTTTCGAATGTGGCTCTCCAGAGCTCCTAAAAGTGAACATCACTCAGCATTGCTCGGAATCACTTGAAATTGCGAGAGAACACATCTCAGCGAGTGAGATAGACAAGTTAGAAACAATGCACTTAACAAGGGAGCACAGTTGGTAGAGTAAACCGAGCCGAGTGGAACGAATCAAGCCAAACGGGGGGACGTGAGCCCGTCTCGCAAGTGATGCAAAAGTAGTAAAGATTTTCAAAAAAGAAATATGTGTATCATTGGTCTGTATGTCGCACACAGCGATGTCAAGGAAAATAAAAACAAATGAAATGACCGGCAAAATATAGCAAAAAATAATACAAACGACTATTTTCTGGATGAAAGAATTTGGAAAAGGAATAACAAATACTGACAGTGAAGGAAGAAATAAGTGAAACATAAAGTATGCACACTAAAAATAAATTGGAGAGGGGGTTGCAGCAAAATACAAAGTATACATAGAAGTTAGGATGCCGAGTAGTTGACTGTGGTTAAAAATAGTACCGGAATCTATCCAATGACAACAAGGTTTCAGAAGAGACGCCCTTATGAATTTAGCACCGCAAAAATGCAAAAAACTGATAGAGCCGAAGAAAAGCCGCAATTTGCACAAGTGACATTAGAAAGAGGCGGAGGATGGTTGTGGTTATCTGAGTGAAAGAAAAGTCCACCGCGTGACCACAAGTGGCCCTCCAAGGTGGTAAGAGAACAAAGGAAAGGTCGTCGCGATGTCAGACAACTGAATCAGAGTGTTAAGGTCAAGCACCGAACCTCTTGAGGACACGTGAAAATGAAGGCCTAAGGTTGTGGGAAATTCCTTGGACTTATTGGCGCATTTTCGCATGTATGAGAAATGAGCTGAACAACAAAGTCAGTGTGTGTGGCTGAGCACGAAGGACGGCAAAGCAGACGCAACGACTGAGAAAAACGGACTAGAAAAACGCTCGCAGATAGATAACGAGGAAGCGAACACAAACACACATACAGGTGAATGCGCAGATTAAAAGGAGTGATAGGCGGCAGACGAACGTGACTATGATTGGTTGCAGCAGTACAGGAAACGGATGGATGCATTCCTGCAAAGTTGCAGCGCGAGGATGAAGGCGGTCAACAACGCCTTCTTTGCATGGATCAATGACAGCACCACATGCGTGCACTGCGAAACTGGTTCGGTTGTTCACTTTAAAGTGAAAACAAAAGCATAATCCATAACAATACGCCGAAAGTAATGACGAACAATGTGGAATGCATATAGCGCGAACCGGAGAAAGGTAGTTGTATCTCAGTGAGAACAATTGTTGAAACAGGAAAATAAACAAATAGGGGATGAAAGAAAATCGGTGCAGAAGGTGTATTAGCTAGAAGAGCTAGTCAGCGTTTATTCTAACTGTCCACAGGACTAAAGAAAGACATCTGGTAGTGAGTGAGATTGGATTGTCCTGGTAGCAGCCAAGGTATATTCGTCCTAGGAGATAGAGATGAGCGTGGGTGAACACAGTGATACAAAAATATCAGAAAGACGGTTGGGATTTTGGGGATTACAAGTAACAGAGCGAGGAGCGTCAGTTGCTAACGCAAAGTATCTGTGTTGAGTGATGTATGACGTCGAAAAGACTGATAAGCTGCCAAAGCGTGGTGAATGAACTCGTACTGCTCATTGGTTTGTACCATACCACCTCTTTCAAGACGCAACCGACTGACTATACGCAACACATCTACGATACCTTCATTTCGGAGTTGAGCGCAGCCAATGCACAAAGCGATGAAACAGCCAGTGCGCCCCAAACCAGCGCTGCAATGAACTACCAGCGGGCCAGTTGGGTCCACTGATGCCACGTGCGGAGGATGAGGTAGTTCTTGTACCTCGGTGTTCGCTGTTGGAATCTCAAGGGTCGGGGGAGCTAAAATGAGTGTTTTCGCGTCCAATCGTTGTGGTGCGTTTAGTTTTAAGACAGAAGATCCGAGCGACGTGCAGATGGAACCCTCGCGACAGGACTCAGCAGCCTCAACAAGCTGGAGCAGATGATTCGCAGAGGTAGGTGTGGTGTCCGGAGATGAATGGTCGGGCCAAGCGGTATACCAAAAGTGGATCACGGTTCGTTCCTCCGAAGCACGCTGAACAGAAAGAAGATAGAGAAAGGGAGGATATCAGTAGGATACCACTACGTTCTACCGACGCTTCGCTGTCAAGCGACTAGCACCAGTCGCGCGCGGGCTAGGAAGGCAGCGAGACCGTCAGCACCTACGCACGCTCGGACGGTTGACTTTTGGCTTACAAGACAGATGCTTCACCGTTTGGCCACAGACCGACCAGACAGAGAGAGTTCCGAAGCGAGAAAATGGTGACTAGTTGTTAATGCAGTCGCTCTGGCAAACGAGCAAAAAAATCATGCAGTACAGTGGGGAAACAACTACTAGATAATTTCCATTGGGATATATATATATATATATATATATATATATGGTTGGCGGCATCCGGTATCCCATTTGCCAGTCACTGTGGCCAGCCACAGGATGCCTGCGCCTACAGAGGGACCATGGGTGGCTTGCGCTGCACCACACACCCCATATCCAGTGTAAAACCGGGAGGCATGCGGATGGGAGCCACGTTTCATCAACGGAGCCGGCCCACACTCCCTCACAGCAAACACAAGCACGCTGTAGTTGGGAATCAAGCGCATACAAGGCGGTGGCTGGACCGTAGTCCCCTCCACCCTGAGTGCATGGAACCACTCTTCGAGCTTAGCACGACCACAATGACCGTGCACCCCGTTCCCTCCAGCAACGACCAACTGTCTCCTGGAGCAAGTATGGACGAGGTAGTGGGTAATAGACAGGTAGACACCTCGTCAACATGCACATCAAGCGCGGCCACACCGGAGATGTCAAACAACAGCCAATCATTTGAAAGAAAGACAACAAAGAAAATAAATCGAGTAATGCATAAGGAAACGTGAGCATATGAAATAAGTTGTTAACAAAGGATCTGAGATAAGTTCACGAAGTCAGTAAGTATATTTTACGGAAATGACACAAACACGAAAATGTTATCGAAATTAACTACAGTTGGCTTAAGCGACGTGTGCAAGTTTATAGAAGAGAGTACAGGCAGACGTTTAGATGAGAAAGAAAAGCATTAGGACAAAATTGAGAACCCTCCACCTGAAATAAATTTAGCATGCAAGCACGTGGTTAGTAAATCGAATGCAGCATGCCTACAAACGCTGCGCCGGTTCTACCTACGTTCACTGCAGGACCCGTCGTCGCTTCGGTAGAGGTCCGAAGTGGCCTCGTTCATGGCTCACTAGACATTTATATAAGGCATTAAGACAAAACATAAAATTCACCACCTGAAATAAACGGACTTAGCATGCACGCACGTGGTTAGTAAATGGAATCCAACGTACCTACAGACGCCGCGCTGGTTCTGCCTACGTTCTCTGCAGGAACCGTCGGCGCTTCGGTAGTAGTCCAGAGTGATCTTGCTCATGGCTCACTAGGCCTGCCTGACTCAGGCACTCGCGGCCGTATGTGCTATAGCACCATGCGCTTGATGTCGATGGAGAACAACCCATCGGTGCTTACCGCTTCCGCACTTGCCGCTTCTTCTCTGCATGCATGAGGGCTTTATCCTGCACCTCGGCAACTGCCTTCGTGATCAGATTGCGCCATGCACGCAGATCAACCGCCTTCGATTCCCATGATCTGCAATCAAGATTAGAACATGTGAGGCTCACTTTAATCATGTCCTGGTAACGTAACTTTGGTTTCCCTACGTGCCGCTTCCCAATACTCAGCTGACCATATAATAGCTGCTTCGGTATCCGCATCAAAACCATACGGCTCACATGACCGATCCATCACAGGTGTCTCAACAAAAGTATGCAGTCCACTGCATACATCCCACTTTGGTGCAAAACTTCCGTGTCTGCAACTCTGTCGCCCCAGCCGATGCGCAAAATTCGT